GCCTCACCACTTATGGAAGTGATGCTTGCAGGCAACTTGGCGACCACCTTCCGGGTACGTAGCGGCGTGGCCATAAAGGCCGCCGAAATGTCAGCTGCTCCAACAAGCCAATCTCTTTCACCTGCAAAGCACAGCATGGCAAACAATGCCTCAGCTGAGGGAGTAGGTGACGATATTCCAAGGGACCGGGCTGATTCAGCACCCTTTGCAATGTCTTTCAAGACTATCCGCGCACGGACCAAAGACGCGTTCTTTCGCGTAGTCACCCACCGAGATGGGATTACCCTGCATTGCTTTCTCAAGTCACCTAATTCAGACTCAGTCAACAAGTCACCGCACTGCATGCTATCCAAATTGCCAATTTCAGTCTTCATGCCTTCAAGCGTCAAGTCACCAGGCAACTCCTCCAATGTTGAATCATCAATGGAGCCACTAGGACACCAGATCCGAATACGCTTGTCACCAAACGAAACAACAGAACTGGAGGCATTCTTGTCAAACTTCAACGACGCAAGAGGCAAGTGACAAATGAGGTCATCCGAGTCAGTTGTGAGAAATGCCAAAGCATACACTTCATGCAAGTCGTTGACGGGAGTCTCAGACAACGAAGAATCACATGTCAGGCCAGAAACAAGTCCAGCAACATCAGGTTTCACGTCAATACGCTTGTTGTCATCCCTGACCTCCCGATCCAAGTCCGCAAGTTCCACATCAGGTTCCCGCTTCAAACCTCTTCTCTCAATCAAGAGATCCTCTTCCGACCATTTTCGCTTGACTCCAACAGATGCCTTAGGGTGACTACCAAGAGGATCAGGTCGAGAAACATCACCAGATTGAGAAGAACTCCCAACCGGGGAGGTGTCCCCTTCCCCATTCCCAAGGTTCACATCTACCGGCTCCTGGGACTCAATCGTTGGTTCAATTTTCACTTTCGCGGTTTCACCAGTCAATCCATCATCTTGTGGACCAAACGACAAAGGATCGAGTTCCTCGAAAGAATCCAAGGCATCTTGTCCACGCACAGGAACACTCCCAAGACCATCAAGGTCAGAAACCTCCCTGTTCGAACCTTCCCGTTTCACCTCCTGCAAAACGGTTGGTTTGCTTTCTGAAGGCCCAGATCCTTGTCCCTGTTCAAGCTCAGAACGGATCCATTTCTCATACCGCTCCATACATTCCCTAGAGTGATTCCTATTCCCACGGGTCCCTCTAATTTCTATTTCCTTACATGCAGAACATTTCAAAGAAACCCCATGTTCATCAAGCCATTTCACTGGCGGTCCTGTTGAAGGACATTTCAAGTCCGAAGGCAAAGGAACAGAAACCTCTTGGGAAGACCTTGGAGCCTCTGGTAAACCACTACGCTCATCAACCAGTCTCACAAACAAACCATGACCATCAAGAATCTCAACAGGCATGCAAAGTTTGATTGACTTGGCTACAAAACGTTGATAAACCATCTCTGAACCAATACGGATTCTCGCAGAAACCCAAACTCCCATTGACGAAAACTCAGGATGCAAGTAAACCCCTTCGACAAATCTTGGCAGGTTAGGATTCTTTGACATGATTGATTCAGGAAGCTCTGCAAGAACCTTACAACCAAACAGTGCAAAAACGTGGTTCCTGGCTCTGTCTCCAATCACCAAGTCTCTCGGCGTTCGGCTGGACTGCTGAACAGTCGTGAAATTGTTGTGGGAAAAACAAATGTAGTTCATACAGCATTGCAAAACAGGAGAACTGAAAACCAGGGTGTATCCCATTCTCTGAAAATCCAACTGCAACGTCTTCAAACCCTCTTTGATTTCCCGAATAGTTCTCTCTGCAGTCCCATTGGCTTGGTGACCCTGTGGAGGGGCTCTTTCAACCACAACACCCATTGGCAACCCTGCTGATGAAATGAAATTCCCAACAGAAGATTCAGCGTCTGTGACAACTCTCAAAGAATGTTGATCCTTGCTACCCCCTAAACCCATTTCAAGCAACCACTTCTGAAGTTGGCGGTTATCCCTTTGTCGATCACCAGTCATAAGAACACAACCAATGCTTGAACTGTAGGATTCCCGAATAACAAGAAACTTGACATTCCCACGTTCACTGTCTTCAGATTCCCACACGCAAAATCTCTTGGTGATCGATGGTGGCAGGGATCGGGGCGAAGCCTTGGGGCGCGGCTGCCTGACGAACTGCCACGGGCAACTCGTCGACATTGTTCGGTAGCACTTCAATATATACATTTCCCGGCAACGGAGTTGCAGCCATACGTGCTCGTGCCGTCGCAGTTCTCAATACGCTGCAGCTGCATCACGCTTTGCTCTGCGCCTGCAGCGCAGACAGCTGTAATGACAGCAACAGTCGGCTCACTGGGATGCCGCAGTCCCAGTGACCCGACTAAATAGCCAACAACTGCGTCCACGCGCTGCAAAGGCGAAGGAGCAGGCTCGGCCAGTAAAGTATCCCATAGAGATTGACGAAAAAAAAGGCACCAAAATTTGTAATCCTGCATGGCGGACCTTTGCGCAGCACCATTTTCTGCCGCTGCCATGACGGTTTGGAAAAAAAACTCCCGTTGAGCACTGAAAAACTATCATGGCATACATGACTCAAAATGAACGACCAAAAAATGCTAACTCGCGTAACTTCGATAACTTCATTTTATTTTTTTCCTTGGGATAGCCTAACTTATGGTATAACTCCACATCTCATGTTATAAATTCAACATAAGTTATCATAAGTTATAGAAGGTAGCCTATGTTATAACTTATAACTTATGTTACCCCATGTTGTAAATCATCTTGCAGAATATATAAGTCAAGTTGTATCTCGGGGGCCTCACAATGTAGTTATGGAAAATTGCCCATTTATAAAGGATTTATCTAGCAAAAACCGTGATTTTCCAGCTACGTTAATTTACCAAAGGGATCCAAAAAGTACATTTTGGTGTGAGTAGTTGAGACCACCAACCAGTCTGTCGCCATCGCAATGCTTCAACAAGGAAGGCACTGCTTCAGCGACTGCATGGGTCAAAATGCTGCCCAGATTTCGGTGATGCAAAACTTGTCCGGAGAGACGCATCCGCATGGGTTTATCTCTAAACAGGAGATGAAATTTGTTTCACTATCTCACATTGGGATACACTGGGTCTGTCTTACCATCCAATGGTTTGTTTTATCAAACCGCCTTCTGTTCAAACTCTTATCCTTTGAATTCTTTGAACATCTCACGTTTTTGGAGAAACCCACATTTGTCACATGATTCCACATTGATGTACCAAACTGTTTCTCGGACACTTCAACTGCTCTTCGCCATGACACGGCGTAGTCAGAGCCTGCTTGAGTTTCCTGAGCTGCGGCAGCTATGTTCCAAGTGATTTTGGTCACTTTTCGTATCTTTGTTTCGTTTGCTGTCCCTCAGTTGTTTGGAAATCAAAATGGAGTCACACTAGTCATCACTATAGTCACTGTCTTGCTTCCTGTTTTCGACTGGGTTGTTTTTTCTAAATCCGGATGGAAGCATCTGCCTTCTCCTGCGCTGTGCTGCAGCGGTCGCTACAAGTTTCTGACCAAAGACGATACTAGAAGCGATGCCAAAAACTGTCCATGGATGGCAGTTGGGGCATGGTTCCCAAATCACACACCTTGGAAGATTTACCCTCTGGTTATTTAACATAGCCATGGAAAATGGCCCATTTATAGATGATTTTCCCATGAAAAGCTCCATTTATAAGGGATTTTCCATGGCTATGTTAAATAACCCGAGGGTAAAAGGTGTCGCTTTAAGGTTCGATCAAAGATCCATTCGTGTTTGTGCTCTTGAGTGCTCTTAAGCTTGGGGACACAGACGTGACCTACTGAAAGTCAACACGACATTTGAACGGCAGGTTTTGTGGCTTTACCGGCTTCACCTTCCAATGGTGCAAGGAACTGTAAGCATGGCCTGGTGAAAAGTGGTTTGAAGATCTTTGAACATGCATCTTCATGCAGTTGTTTATGACTTACACCCTTCCAGTGATTTCGCGTGCAACGATCGGCCGAACCAATGCCACTATTGCTCCAGAGATTTCAGATCACTACATGCTGTGAGTGTGTTGACATTATTCAGAGCCGCTCTGTTCCAGACCATAGGTGTGTCTGAAAATGTTGGATCCGTTGTCAGACCATCCATGGCCCACATGACCCCGTTGGGCTCCAAGTTGCCGATCCAATGGCTGCACCACAAGCCAGTGGCTGGTGAATGGTAGTTTTACAATACGAGACATGAGCAAAAATCCATGGATGTGTTTAATTAGTAGAATGTAAATCCATTTCTCTTTGTGGTAGTTTCAAAACCATCCACATGCCTACCGTTGGCTTTTACTGTAATTGAATCAGTTTTTTATTCACAGAAAAACAATTTTCAGTAGCCGTGCCAAGCAGCACTCTACACGAGCAGTTCCAAAAAACTGCCACCATGATTTTGGTGACTTTGATAATCTTTGACCACGAGTCTTCGGGTGAGGGATTGAATATTTTGTCATATTTTGTCATATTTTGTCCACCGAAAGCTATTTCCAATTGACATGATTCTTACTTTTGCAAACTTTTGCGTAATATCATGGACAAAGGTAGGTCCTAGGGCACCTTTTTCTGCATTCATATTATTTCATGTGTCACGCGCAGCAGTACATCCCTTGAGGCTGTTCACCCTGGATCGGTGGATCCCTTGGAGCCAGTGGATTTGGCCGGGCGCCATCCACTGCGTGTTTGCTCGGTGATCATGCTGCAAGGTGGTGTTCTTAAGGTATGAAGTGAAGTTAGTTTGTAAGGCCCAAAGTAACTATAGTATTAGATTATCGTGATATAGTGCCGTATATTTTATATACATACATAAGTACATGCATGCATATATATATATATAAATATATACACACCATGTTTCAATCTCCAGTTTTTCCATACTTTCTATGAGTTTTGAAGCCACTCAACAGGTGGCCCGAACCGCATCATCAGTGCCTCAAGCGGGCGACGCTTTTCGGGGCGAGCACCCGGGACCGGCGACCCGTCATGATGCGACTCGTTGGGGTGGCCCAGAGATCAGTTCGACCATCCAATAAGAAATGGGAGATTTCACCAACAAGTTGGACCCAAACTTTGGGTGTGAAAATCTGGGTAAACCTTGAAGAGCTTTCTGTGTAAATCATACCTTGGCTTTTTTAATTGGAATGTTTTTTCTAGCCGCTCGGCCTATTTAAATATTTGAGTGCAGACAAATCTAAGATTGACGATCACATCCACCACCAGGGTTTCTATTTTGGGACCGTGGATTACTGGAGGGATTTTGGGACAAACCTTGGTCCGCCGCGCCAGGTGTTGCTCTCAGCTTTGCTGACTTCCGCCCGTGTCCCCAGATAGACGTCAAATGGTGAGGCTATGGGTCAAAACCCTGGCATCCTAGGTATGGTAAAAAACTAGTTCATAACGGTTAATAGATGTCTATTCCCCCAAATATGGTCATTTCATAGGTTTTTTTCACCCCCATATGACGACCTGGGATTTTTGCTTGAGAAATGGCCAGCTCAATCGGACAAATCACGAGGCCATTGAAAGGGAGACGCCATGGATATCGATGCCCTGGATGAATAGACTTTGTTCATTGAGTATGGGGGTTGCCTGCAAAAAGTCTCATGCTGTGAAAAATGAGACCCCAATATGACTACTATGATGAATGGATTGGTTTTAGGGAACATCTACAGTAAACTTTGGTGTTTACTTCCAAAAAAAGTTATGACGTGAATGGTATCTTCGAGGCGGTGCGAGTTGGAGAGTTTAATCCAACCCATCTAGTTCGAGATATCAATGAGATGATATATCTAATTTATATCTACCATAAACCTGCGATATCTGACATATATATCTGACATATATCTGACATATATCTATATACTATAAAGCCTGGTTCAACGAAGTTCAACCCATAAACCGACATTAGCGTTCACGAACTGGGGCACCAAGGCGTCAGCCTACTATCGCGCGGCCGTCGATGTGGGCGGCGACGTGGGGGAGCGCAGCAAAGCAAAAAATGGTGGATTCAGCGGGAACAGTAGGGATTTTAGAGGGACTTTAGAGGGATCTCGGACTATCCAGGGAGCTTTATCGAGATGTAATTTATATAATTGATAAAATTGATATCATCGATATAATTGATCTAATTGATATAATTGATAAAATTGATATAGTCATATAGTAGATAGAATTGATATCATCGATATAATTGATGTAATAGATATAATTGATATAATAAAAATTATACAATTGATATAATTGATATGGTTGATGTAATTGATTTAATTGATTTAATTGATATAATTGATCTAATTGATTCAATTGATATACTGTGAAACTTGGATGAGGCTTTGTCAAGCCCATTGCCAGGAAAACAAACGAAAGGTTTCCGGAGTCTCCGCTACTCAGACCACGAAAGAGCAAACAGGAGCTGCTCGACGGTCCTGACGGCCCGGATTTCGTCCATTTGCTGGCGCCAGCCTTCCTTTTGCAACGCAAGCCGCCATAGACACACACATCCGTATAACACTGTAATTGATATAATTAATATCATCGATATAATTGAATCAAAAAGTGCCTAGGGCAGAGCTAACGGAGCTCACGGTATCCACCTTTTAAATGGCTACCGGAGCTACCAAGAGATTCCCCTGGGCACCCTGGTGGGCGCCCTGGTGTCATCAAACCCGGGCCGCTGGGAAACCCCTAAATCATCGAACTGAATTTTGAAAGCCATGGCCCATGGCTAGTTCGATGATTACTGATTTACTGATGTCTAAAATGGTGATCTTCCATAGCAATGAGGCTAAATTATCAAAATAGTTACCCGGCCTGGTAAACATTCACAGTTTGCGAACTGGAAAATGGCCCAGTCGAAATAGTTGATTTACTGATTAAAATGGGTGATTTTCCATAGCTATGTTTGTTTACCAACGGGTAAGTTCGATTACTAGAGGGCATGGATATTCATTCTCCCAAGGATATTATTATATAGAGGCATTGGCGGCAAAATTTGATGGTTGAGAACATGATTTTCCCTCTTTGGATCCCGGAATTCTTGGATAAACCTGATGAAATAGGTTTGGGTCAAAATTAAAGGGAATCACTAGATTTCAAAACAGTGAAATAGGTTTGGGTCAAAGATGCTTCGGTACATTAGGTTTCACTCTTGCTCTTAGGCAAGTGGTGCTTTGCTGTTTCTTCTCGGGGGCCATGTAAGGCCCACACGGTTCCGTGACTTCCTCATCCTGGGTACCCGATGGCATATCAGATTTGGAGGCCATTCTGGATCAGTACCACTTGATTTATCGAAGACATTGTGGTCACCACAATTTTTGGATGCTCAGTGGGGCAATGTGGGGCAAACCCACGCCACTTGCAAGAAGCACTTAGGCCATCCGGGACGAAGAGACCCTGTCAACCCTGGCCTCCGTAGCAAAAAACACCGCTTACCGACGCAAAAAACACGAAGCCCTTTTGCACTGATACTGTATACACCTGTTGAAGTTGCAAGGACAGTCCTACTTCATGGGTGCCATGGCCCAAGTTGCTCTACCCAATCTCCCTTTTCATCCCCTCCAACTGACTTTAACCTGACTTGATCCAAAACACTTCGTTTCCCCCCAAGAAACACATCAACCAATTCTAGTGGTTAAAAAATACATATCCCATGTTTTATGGTCAAAAACCCACCAAAAGATGATGGTTGCATCCCTGTTTAAGAAAACAACAAGTCCTTCATTGAGGTGGTAGCAGGTGCTGGCAACCTCACGGGTGGCGGAAAGGCCAGTTATGGGATGAGAGTGGGCAAAAGTTCTCTATATATATATATACATACATATATATATATATACACATATACATATATATATATATACATATACATATACATATATATATATACATATACATATATATATATATACACATATATATATATACATATATATATACATATATATATATATATACATATATATATATACATATATATATTATACATATATATATATATATTGATTGATATTGGAAAAAACTGGAAAAGGCACGACAAAAATCCTGGAAGGCCATCCCGAAACTTATGGCCATCTTTTTTCAGAAGTCCTAGGGACTGTTTTCTCCAGGGTTTACCCGTTCGGCAACATCTGCAGATGTGTATGGGGAAGGTCATAGAACTTCTATAGTAATCCCCAAAAAAAACAACTGTAGAAATTTTATTTTTCCATATATTGGGAATAATAATCCCAACTGACGAACTCATATTTTTCAGAGGGGTAGGTATACCACCAACCAGACTACTATTTGAGTACGATGTCGCTTTTCTATCTTTTTGGGTTGCTATAATTTTCGGTTTCCAAATCAACAGAAATCGAGACTGAATTCCCATGTTGGGGACTGACTTTGACATACCCCTTCGATGATCAACAGCTGTATATATGGGTTTGTCTGAAAATAGGTAGGTTTGACAGTTTGATGGCTACGGATGAATTCTCCCATTTTTTCCCATTGAATCTACCATTCTATGGGTGCATATACCTATTTTCAGACTCATCCAATTGCATACCCAGTTATAAGTTATAAGAAGTTGCACACAACCACCACCATGCAAACGAACGACATTTGCCCGCGTCTCTTTTCAGATTACCGGAATCGAGCTTCTGACTGAAGTATGATCCCGTGATGTACAATGTATTTTGTATACACGAAATATAATCCTGAATACATGCATGTATTTACATATGTATGTGGGTGTGTGATATATCAGAACTGAAGACATCATCACTGAAAGACCAAAACAACCAAGTACATCCAACTCACTTCCCCGAAGCTCTGGGGTTTGCATTTTTTTGCCGTTCTTTTTGCGCAGATCGGCACATACACCGTTTTACTGCAGCCGGGGTCTCAGTGAAAGCCGGAAATGACATGTTCACCAGTGATTTTGATGGAGTAGCTCTCCCCTGCGACAAATTCAGCCATCCAGGGTCCTGAACCCTGCCTATGGTGATCTCAAGCTTTTGTTGGCCGCTGGGTAGCACCATGGAAGTCTGGGACAGTTGACCGAAGGATAGAGCACACTGGTTCAGCTGGTTGCTTTAGTCACCAGAACTGGGGATAGTGTTTTAGGATGTTCAATGATGTTCAACAGATTTAGGATATGGAAGATTGTTTTCTGATAGCGTTCAACCGCCACTTTTTGGGTTCCAGTCATCAAAAATCTTCTGCTTCATGGATTTGGCTCATCCGTTTTTGATCTTGTGCTTCGCTGGTCAAATCAGCATTTGAGTTGGTACATCTGTTGGAACCAGTTGCCCTCCCACCCCAATGTGGCTTGATGCAACCGCTGAAGTGCAGTGATTTTCCATGGCAACTCCTCTCTGTTGGAATGTTTATTACAGTCCCAAACCCTTTCACTGCTCTTCATCTGAATAAAGTTGTAGGGATGTTGCTTCCATTGTATTTCTCCAGAAATAAAAGACTATATAGTTCTATGCCCAGTTTTCCGGTTCATCTCCACCTTCTTAGTTGTATCATACAAGTCGCGAGCTCACAACGACTTGAACATAAATGATGGGAATTGTTTTTGACGCCAGATCCCATGGATTTTCCATATTTTTTTTCCTCAGATCCTCTTAGATCCTCTGGAATCCCAGCTACCCGCAGGAGTGCTGTGGAGATGCCCGGCACTACGCCAGTGAGATCGCCAGCAAGGTGGAGAAGTCTTCGTTTAACGCTCCCCAAAAAGAAAGATTTCACCTCAAAGAAGAGAGATGTTGCCAGCATTTTTTTTGTTTACCCTCTGGTTATGACTAACAGTTTGTGAACTAGAAAATCCCAACCATAAATGGAGGTTTAGTTCGCTGGGAAAATCATCTATAAATGGGCCATCTATACCATGGCTATGTAACAAATAACCAGAGGGTAGTTTCTGAATTGACCCGTGTAGGATTTAACCCCATGCACAATACTCTGGCTTTCTCTGAGAATATGGTATAATTATCCCCTTTGTCCCCAAATTTTCCGGAAATGTGCAACTCATTTTGAGTCTGGGATAGCAATGATTTCAAGCACTGGGGGATCCCTGTTTCAAGACAGACCCCAAAAAAAGCATCAACCATGGAGATTGTCACCAGCATGGGGGAAAGAAAATCTTGGGTATACAAGCATTTGAATCCATTTGACCATCAGTTTTAAGTACGAAGACCTTTCTCACATCTGAGATTTCGAATGTGGCCAGGTGCCTTTAACTTGGACATCACTCAGGTGATCCCAGCAATCACATGATCAACTTGGGTATATCATATATATATCCCATGTCCAACTGATTCCAGCAGAGTCCGAAAAACCATGATACTATACATATAATGAACAACTTGCTGATTGGTTATGAAATCCATGGATATCATCCCCAAAACATCAAGCAACTAGGGTTTTTCTGGATGTTTGGCTGCGATTTGCACATGTTTTTCCTTGGTCCCCCTTGAAACGCACATGGCATTTTTTGTGGCGCCTCAGATCAACCTGAACATGTTTGATGGCGACCAGGAGGATACTGGGCACCTTCAGAGTTTTTTTTTGAATTTTGTAGACAATGGGATCGAGTCACGAGGGGATCGAGCAGATCGAGAATCGATAAGATAACTGATTGGTGGTGACTGGAACATGAATTCTATTTTTCCATATGTTGGGAATTTCATCATCCCAACTGACTTTTTTATTTTTCAGAGGGGTAGGCTCAACCACCAGCCAGGACAATGATGAGATAAGATTCCAGATAAGATACGAGAAGATTCTACGATAAGATGCGATAAGACACCGATTCTGTAACATTCTGTAAGATGATGTACCCTCTGGTAATTTAACAGTTTGCTATTTAAAATGGTCATAGAAATAGTGGATTTAGCCACTAAAAATGGTGATTTTCAACAGCTATGTTAGTTTACCAGAGGGTATTTGTTATATAGATGTTTTCCTCCTGAATGAGGGATTTGCCAGCCAGGCATGTTTGATTACAGAACATTACGAAGGAATGAGAAGACCAAGATCATAAACCAGACCCACTCCCACCGTTTTGGGGGTATACAAACCAATCCTAATTTGGGGTGTATATATAAAAATATATACATACATATATATATATACACATACACATGCAGATACATGTGCACGTACATATGCAGATATAACATGATATAACACATGCACATGGATGATTTTATGTTTTTATGATTGATTTTCCACATTCTCCCTGAAAGTGAAGGACTCATTTATTTGCCCATCCAGTAAAGATACGCAGCTATTATTGCGTCAGAGGCAAACATGAGTCATAGTGATTTTCTGCGTATGTTTTAAACCTGTTGATTGGAGAAAACCACTGCAATTTTCATCTGTGGCTTTGACGAAAAGGTGAACACCTTTTTAATGATCCTCTTCGTTGATGGTTCAAACGTTGCTAATGTGGCAAAGATATTAAATCATCCCCGATTTTAGCAGCAACAGTGCGTATCTATTAATACCATTCTTTTCAACTTGGGTGACAAAAATCATCACTTGGCAGATGAAGGTCGGGCAGTGGCACAACTTGACTGGTAGTGGCTTATATGAGGATCAAATCAGGGTTTCCAAGCGTTAAGTTGCCAAAAAAACATGGTAGTAAAGAAGCAAGTCTTGTTGCTACTTTCATGAATCTTTGTTCATGATTCATGATATCATATGTTGTCCACTCCCTATTTTTGATTACTAGTCTGGTCGCCTACATTCCTGCCCCAAACCCATCTCTTGGTCGCGGCCCAGAAAAGCATCCGAGCGCAGTACGTTGGGGATGGCAAGTGCAAAGCCACAGGCCCAGTCGCCACTTGGCACTTAGGGCCACCTGGTTGGCTTCAAACTTTGGCTGGTTGAATTCGATGTGGAAAAAAAATAACCGCGTGTTTCATGGTGCCAGAGCGTTTGCTCTGATTTGAAAGTGTTCAAAATCCCTGCCGGTACCTTTACCAAGCCCCAGGAATCCATTGCGAAAAAGGGTGACTCGAAGTGCAGCTACCTGTATAGCTTTGCGAACAAGCCGCTGGGCGGCATTGGGGTGCTCCACGGCCCAGTTTGTGGTGATGGAGCCACCTGTGAAACACACGTCCTTGTTTTGGGAACTGTTAAAGAGGCTCTTATCTGTTTATCTAAAACTTGAGGGAATCAACAAAACATTGGCTTTCTGTGAAATAAAGAGCACACATTGAAAAATGGCATAGAGATTTTCAGATTTTGGATCATATTTGGCCGCGCCCAAATCCACCCAAAGCCATGTGGGTGAAGCCACCTCTGCTTCAAACACCATGTTTGCTGCATCCCAGACTATCATTTCCTTTCCATCAATCATCAATCATCAGAAAAATAAATCCATTAATCATCAAAAAAACTGATTACACCCTTGTTTGGTTATCCAAAAAACCTAGACTATCATCCCAGACTATCAAACCTCTTTGGTTCAAGGAAACATGTTCAGTCTATCATTTCCCTTCGATCCCTTGATAACATATCCACATCTTGCACTTGGAGGTGCATCCGAGGCATCGCAAGTGGGTGATAACCATACGTAGTACATATTTAATGTGTATATATACATATGGGTTATACGTGGTATATATGTATATATATAATATACTATAATATACTATAATATACTACAATATACTATAATATACTATAATATACTATAATATACTATAATATACTATAATATACTATAATATACTATAATATACTACAATATACTATAATATACTATAATATACTATAATATACTAAAATATACTATAATATACTATAGTATACTATAATATACTATAATATACTATAATATACTATAATATACTATAATATACTATAATATACTATAATATACTATAATATACCATAATATACTGTAATATACTGTAATATACTGTAATATACTCTAATATACTCTAATATACTCTAATATACTCTAATATACTCTAATATACTATAATATACTATAATATACTATAATATACCATAATATACCATAATATACCATAATATACCATAATATACCATAATATACTATAATATACTATAATATACTATAATATACTATAATATACTATAATATACTATAATATACTATAATATACTATAATATACTATAATATACTATAATATACTATAATATACTATATATACTATAATATACTATAATATACTATAATATACTATAATATACTATAATATACTATAATATACTATAATATACTATAGTTACTATGATATACTATAATATACTATAATATACTTTAATATACTATAATATACTATAATATAATATGATATGATATAATATAATACAATAATACAACATAATGTAATGTAATGTATTGCAATATAGCATAATATAATGTATATAACAACATAATATAACAACATAATACAACAACATAATAAAACAACATAATATAATATGATATAATATAATATAATATAGTATAATATAATATAATATAGTATAGTATAATATAATATAATATAACATAATATAACATAATATAACATAAAAATCAATATAAATATATATAAATATATATATATATAAATATATATAAATATATATATATATAAATAAATATATATATATAAATATATAAAAATATATAAATATATATAAATATATAAATATATATAAATATATATAAATATATATAAATATATATAAATATATATAAATATATATAAATATATACAAATATATATAAATATAAATATATATAAATATATATATATATATATAAATATATAAATATATAATATATATATAAATATAATTCTAAATATAAATATGATTATAGATACAATATAATATAATACAACATAACATAACATAACATAACATAACATAACATAACACAACACACACATACACATATATTTATATATACATACATATGGATATACACACATGGACATAGAAAGGTTATAAACCACGGATCCGATTCATCTTGATGCACAAGCGATGCTCAGGGACTGGAAGAGCTACCAGTACACTGCCCAGTGCGTCCCCAGTGACGTCTGTGCCGTGGACGTGGTGGGGGCCACCAAGGGGCTCAAAGGCAAGGTTGGCGGAAAAACTTGGGGGGCCAAGGGTTGAAATGATGCACCCAACATTGGTCCTGGTCCCGGAAATCCAAGAAAAAGCTGGTTTGGGATGGGTGAACGAATACATCATTTTGCATGCTGCGATTGCATATGCACTTCACCGGCTGCTGTGGATTTTAAAAAATAAAAGTTGACATGTGGTGGCTGCGCAAGGATGACCCGATGCCATTGCACAAATGGCTCAAGGGCGAGACGAGAAAGTCTTGCCTAGCAGCTGCGCGCTTCAGCTGTTGGTCCAGGGGTTATGAGCCCAAGCTGGGATCACTGCTGACATGGAGCTTTCTTCGAGGCGAGAGTCATCGGTGCAGCGCCGTGCAGCTGCTGCTGTGAATGCGGCTGTGGCGGCAGAATGCGCTGATGATTTGATGCAGCGGATGCTCGACGAAGCAACTGGGTCTCGAACCCATGGGGATGGGCCAAAGGCATTAGAACCCAAAGCCAATAGAAGTGGAGGGGGTATGCTTGATGCTCTAGGGCCTGTGGGCCCACCGTTGTCTTTCTCTCCAGGGGAACTTCCAATGTTACTGGGTGAGCCAAAAGGGGCTGAAAACCTCGAGGTGAAACAAAAGGTCGAAAAAACACCTGGTGTCAAAAGGGTTGTTGTGCCTGAGCAGCAGTCTGTGAACCCACCAAATGAAGGGGCTGGGTCGAGCACCGAACCAGTGCGAGGAAACGTGAATGAACATAGTCCTGGGGATGGTACTGGTAAGGGGAAGGGATGTAGTTCCGGGTCTGGTAGGATAGAACCCAGGAAGCATGTTGCCATAGAAGCTCACAGCCTTGCCAGGGATGTGTCACAGGGCTCCAATGTGAGGGGTTCTGGTGTTGTCCAAAATGTGTCATAGAGCTCCAGTGTGAAGGGCTCTGGTGTTTGTCAAAATGTGTCACAGGGCCCCACTGTGAAGGGTTCTGGTGTTTGTGAAACCGTGCCTCAGGGCTCCAACATGAAGGGTTCCGAGGTTTGTGAAGGTTTTACATAGGTGACGGGCGTCAGGGCTCCGAAAATGTTGTTGTGGTTCCAGAACAAATGGGGAATGTTGTGAATCCCACCTGGAGCAAAACTCAGCAGCGTGAAGCTGTCCAAGAAGCTTTCGGGCCTGGGTACGACGTGAGTGCCTTGGGTTTGCAGCCGGGTTCAAACTCCTCAACACTTCGAAAAGTTCATGTGGGACAAAGGGGAAATGTTGATGTTGAAATGGATCCAATTGAGTTGTTCCGATTGCATTGTTTGAGGGAAGCTGAAGACAAGTTCGTCAAGGTTTGTTGAATATGGGGACAAGTGTCAAAGAGCCAAAGGTTGAAAAACATGGGACTGAAAAAGGGTCTTATGTTTCACAAAGTTCATACGCTTCTGCAATGGATTTCCAAGAGCCTGGAATGCCCAAATCTCATGATGTGGCTGAATCCCAAACGGTTCCTGAACCAAATGTGAGTAGGTTTGTACCCGAACCAGTTGTGTCAAATATTGTTGAACCGTTTGTGCCGAAGCCACCCCCTGGGCCACCACCACCTCCTCCAAGACTGTTGCCTAGTGGATGTGGGTTGGGGTCTGTGACACCTCCAATCCCACCTGCCTTGCCGCCTTTTCCAGCATCTGTGTCAGGTAACTTGCAAAACTGAGGTGGATTCGGTGAAAATCCTTCTGAAAATCTCAGGACGGTGGAACTTTCCGAAATTGTGGATGGATGCCACTGCTCTGCAATTTGGTGACTGGCTTAGCATCATTGATTCTCTCATGGGTGACTTGTCTTACTCATCGGGGGATTGGTGGGCTTTGGTCAGGGGAACTGTTGATCAAGGTTACAGGGATTGGTTGAACGTGGGTCCCCCCAAGTGGATCCTAGGGTTCAACTTTGGCCCCGAACTGAAAGAAGGGCTTTGTCCATGTTGTTGGGATCTATTCTTGATCCAATTCAAGAAGAAATCATATCAGCTCGAAAGCTGACCACTGACCAGGTGTTGTATAAGTTGTGCATCACCTTTCAACCGGGAGGTGCATCTGAACGCACCAAATTGTTGCAGAACATCACGGATTCCAAGTGTGGTTCCAATGTTCATGAAATTTTGGATTGGATTCGAACCTGGCGACGGTTTGTTCAAAGAGCCAGGCGACTCCAAGTCACTTTGCCTGATCGTTTGGTTTTGCTGGGAGCACTGACCAAATGTATTGATGTTTTGATTGGAAAATCCCACAAGTGGCATATCGTCTCAACATGATCCGCCAGCAGTTGAACTTGGATCAGTTGCCGACAGCAGAGACGATCTTGAACTACTCCGAGCATGTGCAAGCTGAAGCTGAAGAGCTGCTTTGAGCGTGCCCGCGAAGGCAACTTCGGCCATGAAAGCTGCTGCTTTGGGTGCGCCACCGCTGCCAGGGATCCCTCAAAATCCTCAAAATCCTCAAAATGAATTGGAACAGAAATCTCCGAACCCGAAAAAGGAGGCTTGTAGGGTTTGGATGAGTGAAAAAGGGTGTTCAAGGGGGGATCAATGTTACTATGGTCATGCCTCTTTGGATCCTCAAAGTGATCGGTGTTTCAATTGTTCTGCGGTTGGTCACTCCTGACGTGATTGTCCTTTGAAAGCTGCAGGGTCTGACTCTAAGCCTGATCTGAGGGTTGCCAAGGTGTCCAAACCAAGTGGAAAGGGGCCCCTGAAAAGTCTGGGAAGGGTTTGGGGGAAAATCGTAGCCCTGAAAAAACTACTGGGGATGTTGCCGCTGCAGAGAAAGAGAAGTCACTTGGTTCCGAAACTGCTTACAACACTGGGCCGGAAACTGGGAATGGGGGAGAAACGAGTTGAACCCATTGTTCCTTTAAGGGGACTTATTGACCTCGGTTTTGTCATCAAGTGGAGTGCCCATGGTTGTGAAATCAAACACCCATCAAGAGGAACCATTCAATGTTGGTTGCGACATGGTTGTCCAGTTGTTTCTGAAAAACATGCACTGGGTTTGATTCATGATATCGAATCCATGGAACTGGCCATCCCTTCTGAAACCTCCGAAACCGTTTTTTTGAAAGTGCCCATGAGTGGTGGTCACAACGGTTTCCGAATGTTCCCAAAAGAATTTGGAATTACATGGAGGGTCAAGGTGTTGAAACTCCAGGGACCACTTGTATGCCGGTGAAGCATCTAAGGAATGGTGTCCTGGTTGGCCTGCTGATGTCGAAATGATCACCTTGGATGTTCGAGATGGCCAGAATGTCCATGATGCTGCTACTTGGGCCTACCTTTGGCGACTTGCTGCATCGGGGCGTGTCATAGCTGCATGTAGTGGGGGGACCACCATGTCGTACTGTGAGCAGGTTGTTGAAAAAACACCAGGTCCACCAAGGTTGCGTTCAAGAAATGGACCTGAAAGGTTTGGGTTTGAACACCTCAATGAATCCCAACAGCAGAAAACGGATAGTGACACTGCGCTGAAACAGTTGGGGTTGTACATGCATGCTCATGAGTCTTGGGATGGTTCAAAATGGCCCCGCACACATGTTGCGAATCGGGTTGGATTTATGGAGTCCCCTCAAGACCCCAAACTTACCTCCAAAATGGAGAGGGGGATGAATCTGGGAGTTTTTGGGCTTGGGATGAAACACGGGATTTCCTTGAAATTTTCCAATCACATGGAATGGAATTGATCAACTTCGATCAGGGCGCATTTGGACATACTCGCAAAAAAAACCACAGCATGTATGACCAATCTCCCTGACATGAGAGAACTTGATGGCTGTCACTCTGGTGAACGAGAACGACATTTGGCGGTCAACTTGGATGAGAGGATGCATCAAACTGCCTCTTGGTCTCTTTGGGCGCCGGGGTTGAGAGCTGCCATCAAAACATCTTTGTTGGTTTTGGTTGAATGGTATGGGATTGCACCAGCAAAATTGCCCAAAAGTTTGGGGTTGGATCAATGGAAGCAACGCATCAAGCAGGGACATCAACCATACCGACGGGATTGTAGGACATGTATCCTTAACATGGCTGGGTCGAAGCCACACCGACGTAGGGAACATGCTGGAAGTTCTGCTTGGACCATGTTTGTTGATTTGGTTAATCTTCCAAATGCACGTGACCTTGCCACCAAAAAGATTGTGAAATATGGTGTGGCTGCCACAGCCCTTGTTCCAGTATTTGACTCTCCTCCGGGGGACGAGCCGTTAGCTGCCGAACAGCCAATTGTTGCTGGCGATGTGTCTTCGGATGCTCCGCGGCCAATGGAAACTGTGGATGCATTTTGGGGGGAAGGACTGGATGAAAAAGAATACTCCCTTCAGGGGGACGAAAAACCTGAAGAAAACCCTATAGGGGATGATGGTGAAAACGTGAAAGACCATGATAGGGGTGATGGAAACGAAACTGACTATGAACCAATCATGGGTGAAGATGAATCAAGAGAATGGGAGTCAACCTGTGAAACTGCATGATGCATACGTTCACAGCTGGTGATGACCCCCAAAGTAACTGCCATTGTGAGGCCCAGGTGAACCAACTCAAAAGGCGTACCAGGCTGTTGCTCCACATGGCAGGTCAAGACAACACACATTGGCCCCAGGCCATGCGATTTGCCACGGAGGAACGACTAAGGCAACAGATGGAGCTCCTTGGTTCCCCTGTTCAAAAAATGCTGCCTTACAAGTCCCTTGTTTTGGTCAAAAGAAAAAGATGGCATGATAGAGGGAATTTGTTGGGTCAACCTTTTGTTGAAACACGCCTGTTGTGTCCCAGCCCTGACATGACTTCAGGTTGGCTTGTCCGAACGACTAAGGACCAACATTTTTTTGCATGCTCGTGAGGCCATTCTGCCCGATCCATTGTGCGATCAAGCTCAGCTGCAACTTGAGGCAGATGTGCGGCTTGGCAGGCCTCACTTGCGTCTTTGGCACAAGCAGCCACCTCCAGGACCAGCACCGATGAAACTGCCGCCACTGCTGCGACTGGATCGCGGGGGGGAGTCCTCTTTGGTTTTGGAACTTCAACTTGAAAAAATCCCGGAAAATGAGCCCCAAAATGAAATTGTTCTTGAAGTTGATGGTGAAAAAGGGGATGAAGTGTTGGGGATCATTGATGAAATTGACCCAGAAAACCTGAGGGAGGCATCGCGGTTTGTCAAAGGGTTGAATGCTGATGCTGGGTCCCGGGGAGATAGTAAACCACAAAACCCCGAAAAAGTTGGCTCTGGGTCAAAATCGCGGGTTGTTGCCAAATTGGAATCTTTGGATTGTTTGGAAAGCTGTTTGGGTTGGATGCATCAAAACATTTCCGGTTCACTGCAAGATCTGTTGGATGTTGTTCCCACTACAAAGTCTCTTGGGGAAATTTGTGGGGCTGATATTCAATGGCTTCAAGGGGAAAAAGAACGGTTGAAGAATGATCTTTTCCTGGTCCATGATGGCCAAAATAAACGGGTTGTCAAATTGCGTGGCCTTCAAACTGATGGTGTCTTGGCCAAGAATCAGGGGGAGGTTTTGCAAACCACCACAGTCCCTGTGAATGAAGTCAGAAACGAACTTGGGGAATGGAAAGATGCGATGATGAAAGAATACAACCGTTTGGTCCATGAAACAAAGGCCATTGAACCCCCCCTGTTGACCTTTCCATGTTGAATCAAGAAGCGGTTGAGTTTGTCCCTGGAAAACTTGTGACTGTTAGAAAAGCAGGTCCTAATGGGGGAAAAAAGAAATGTAGAGCAGTGGTCTGTGGAACCTGCACAGTGACTTGGATCCTGCTCCGGGCAATCTCTACACTTCTGGCGCTGATGGCATTCTGATCAGAGCTACATTGGCTCACTCCGTGCAGAAGGGATGGGGCGCTGGCGTCGCCGATATTTGCACAACATTTCTCCTTGACCACGGTGCACATGGCACACTTCAGGTACCAAGGCATGAGAAGGTCACTGAGGCCTTCGCCGATATTGGCTTTGCTCCTCAAGGTATTGCAGTCACAAAGGCATCATTATATGTGCTGCAGGATCTCCGATTCAGTGGGAAGCATCTCGGCAGGCATTTCACACCATGGGCACGGCTGAGTCTGAGCTGGTTGGGTATTGTGAAGCTACCACCATGTTGAAATCTGCTGAAGCCCTCTTAAGGGTTATCCACGGTTCATGCACTGCTGGTGATGGTGTTGATGTGGTTTTAGAAAAAGTAATTTTATGGGGATAACTCAAGTGCACTGAGCATACTTATTGAACCCAGATGGTGGATGGAGAACACGCCATTTGTGCCTTCGTTCGTCTTGCCTGCGTGAGTTGTTGAAAAAGCCAGGCACCAAAGAAGAGTTGATTTGCCCGCTGATATGCTTACCAAGCCCATTACCTTGTTGAGGGAATGGATTAAGTTCTGGCATTTCTTGGGTTTTCATGTTGATGCTTCAATCCCCAAATATGACCCTGAAAATGCACCTCAAGAAACCTCCAAAGGGTCTCCAAAAACCAACGCCACTTCAGGACCTGATGAAACTAAGGGATCCGATGATGTGGTGACCAAGGTGAAGGTGATTGTGGCTATGGCTGCGCTGGCTGTGGCGTCTACGGCTGCTGCGCAGGCTGACGTGCAGATCGCTTGCGCCACTGCTGCCGCTGCTTGCGCTGGATGGCTTGCGTGCAATTGGCAGCCGACCCCTTCATCCGAAGGTCGATCCAAAGAGATCTGTTTCGACGGGAGGCAGGTGGAAAAACCATCAAGAGCCATTGGCCTCAAAAAAGCAAAAGATGCCAGGGGAGATGAACCGGCCGAAGAAAAACCTCCAAGGAAAAATGAACCTGGAGGCATAAACCCTCAAATGTCAACCAGCAAATGTGTGGAATCTCCACGGGAAAATGAACCTGGAGAAAACAGTTTTGGGATGATTTGGAATGAAAACCACGAAAAAATTGAATGGGATCACCGAACCCACGAAAATCAGAAGTAACCCTGAAATTGGCAATCTTTTTTGGGATGTCGTGGCAGAAACCAGTTGTGGCATGGCGCACAGTTGTTTTGAGCCCGTCTGTGGTGACTCTTGCAATGATGTTGAACTGTTGCAGCCACTGTTGGTTGCTGAAAACCACTGCCCCTTGGGCTGCCCCAAAGGTCCGGGCGTGCGACTTGCTGCCATGGCCCCTAAGATGTCCAAGCCTGCGCCGTCGCTGCCGCCGCAAGATGCTGCCGCTAAGCCTGCTGCTGCGCGCCGGAAGGCACCTCCAATGATGCTGCTGTGCGCTTCAGCGATGGGTGGTGCTGCCTCGAGCTCTGCGCATGTGTGCAGGAGCCCTACATGGGCACTTTGCCAAAGTTTCCTCCGGCTCGCAAAGAGGCCGAAAAGGCTCAGAAAACAGCTGGTGGAACGATGTTGGATGAAATGGCCAGGCATGGCCCACGGTTGGGTGACCGTTACCGCCAGCCAAACACGACTGGGAAAAAGGACTCATGGTCCGTTGCGAAATGTGGGAATGAAATCTTCCTGGTGAAAGTGCGCAAGTCACCGAGAAAACAGCGATTTCACCCACTGCATCGCTCTGCACCAGTTGAGGCCAAATTCTTGACTGGTGAAAGGGTCACGAAGGCCTTCTATGTGAACACTGCTGATGGGTTGGGCTTCCTTGTCTCGACCGCTGGGGCGATCCTGTTGTCGAAGCTGAAGCACAGTGGAGTGGCTACACCTTCCTGACGATGAAACGGGAAGTCATGGACCAGATGAACCTGAACATTCAGCTTCAGCCAGCCCCAACCGCCGATCGACCTCCTTGGCCTATGTCTGAGAATCCAAGGGACGATGACTTGGATGTCCATGTGGGTCGACACTATGAGATGGAAAAGCCTTGCCGTCATCGACCTCAACAAGAACCTGGTCTGATGGTGGGCCGCCTCTACTTGGATGGATGTTTGGCCAGCAGTGGAAGTGGAACTGTTTCCACTGCTGGTTCTGCTGAACTGCGGCTGGTGCCCCTCACGGAGCCAACAAGCCAGCACAACAAGACCTCTGGAGCGCCCACGGTGGGTTTTAACCGTGGTGGCGTAATCCAGCGTGGGATCGCTGCTACCTCCTCTACTTCGAGTTCAAGCTCGGATCCACAGATGCCAAAATCCTTTGGTCCACTGGTCAAGGAATGGGCTCTGGTGACTGATGATGAGAAAGTGAATGATGAAGAAGAGGGGTGACCTACATGTTGGATGAGCGCTGTTGAGAGCCGGGCTACAAGGCCATGTTTTTATGGCTGAACTTTTGGAGTTCCACAGCAAGCTGCGGGTGGGAGTGTGATTGCATATGCACTTCACCAGCTACTGTGTTTTTTTTTAAAGTTGACATGTGGTGGCATGCATACAACATAGCATGGTCACTGCGCAAGGATGACCCGATGCCATTGCACAAATGGCCCAAGGGCGAGACGAAAAAGTCTTGCCTAGCAGCTGCGCGCTTCAGCTGTTGATCCACTGATGCAATTTGGCCTGTGTCTATCTGGATGGCTGGTTTGGTTGTTACAGTACTTCTGGATGGCGGTCGGGTTTTGATTATCTCCCCACCTTTTCCGATTGGTAAATGACCATAAATCCTCGTAAATCCAGCATAAATCACCACAAATCATCGTGTTTTTCCCGGTGACAGCTCCATTTTTGGTTGGCTAAAACACTATTTTGGTTGCTTTTCAAATCACATTTTTTGATGGTGAATCCCCCTTACCCCTTAATTTTGGTTCCAAAACAACGAGTCGTGGCCTTTCCCCAGCCGTGGCCGTCGTGGCCGTCGTGGCCGTCGTGGCCAGTCGCCTACCCCGTGGTGATCCAAATCCTGAATCGAAATGCTGGAGACATGGCCTATGCGGGTTTTGGACCTACCAGCTCTTGCTTGGAGGCGCTGACTGGTGCGTAAAATGTCCCTTTTATAGCTAGGCAAATCAACTAAAAAATGGCCATGTGAAAAAAAACAAAGTGTTAAATTACTAGAGGGTACCAAAACTGAAACTTACTAAAATATACCAACAAAAACAACTTGATTGTCTTTGAACTGAGTAAAAAGTATTAAGATGCGTTGAAGAGATAACGTAAAGTGCTACTACGTAGAAAAAATAGAATATAAGGGTCATTTTTTTTTATTTTTGTGGGTTTACATAGCGGCAAATCGATTGTGTACTAAAACCTAAGGTGTTATTGCAGTTTACAGTTTGCAGATGTTTGATAGTCCGAGTGTTTAGCTACCAATTTGTTGGGGTTATAAACCCAGCTCTAACTGGCGACTGCAGCTTGGTTTCTGGGTCTGGACATGTCTGGACAGTCACGATGATGGTTGGATTGGACTCTTGTTTGGGGTTGGGCAGGCTATGGCCCTCCATTCCAACTGTTGATGCCAGGGAATGAACCAAGTGAACATGGCCAACGTGCACTTTAAGAAGGAGGCCATGGGTTGACGGAGTTTTCGACAAGATGAACTGGGGATGTCCAGTTTGGGATGGACTGTCGAGGAATCCAGACCAGGTAAAAAGACTTGGGTGACTTGGGTGACTTGGGTGACTTGGGTCTAATATGAAGTATACCGGCCAGAATTGCACTTTCAGAATGATCATGAATCAGTGGATGAAATGGGCTGGGCCTATTGATAGTCACCCAATCTCGTGGGGTGAGCCCGGCTAGCCCGCGCATCCCCAAGCGTCCCCAAGTTGAGATGAGGTATCTACCAGGTACCTACACACCTCTCGAGGGATGCAGCACCATGAACTCTACCTGAACATCTTTTCAGTGATTCAATCGTCATGGGGCCTCCAAACAGTGCCCTTGGATGGCTGCGGCAGGAAATCTTCATTAACGTTTTTGGAAAAAAACTCCCCACCGGATTCAAGGAGCACCTTGGACAAAAAAGGTGGTCTGGTCGACCAAGTCCAAAGGAGGTTTGATTTCTCTCATCATGGGATGATTCACCAAGGTGACTATGGTAGTGGTTGACAGCACCAGATAGTCAGGCTGTCTTCATGCACTATCTATGTCTGCAAGAGGCCGCAAATAGTCTGTTTTGGCTTTAAGAGATAGACTTTCCAAAGCAAGTTGGATTTGAGGTCACAATTCTAATTTTTTGCAGACTTCCTCAAAACATGTCAAAATCTCTTCGTTCAAAAGCTATGAGCGATGTTGTTACCACACAGTTTTCAGTGCAGACAAAATTGTCCACGCTGCTCAAGGAACAACTCTTTGTACACGTGTTCCATTTCATCAACAATAGGACTCTTGACAAGATCCCTCAACAGTTGTATAATTTGTCCAAGTTCAAAATCTGCTTAGGAGATCTGTTAAATTCTTAAGATCCCTCTTCACAGTAAATGCAATACTTCATTGATTACCCTGCTAAGATATTTCTAGTGGATCTCCTTTTGCTGTTTGCAACCTCTGCGTCTCTTTACCATCTCTCTAAGATCTTGTCTAACTACTGCTTCTTGAAAAGATCCTTAAGGTCTCTCCATGGGATCTTTTGCTTAGATCTCTGACCACAAGATCCCTAATAATCACCTCAACCTGAGTGGCATGGCAAAACTGAGTCAGCTGGCTCCCGCGAAGCCGTGGCTTCCGTGGCTTTCCTAGGCGCATGCACGTCGAGGGCATGAGGCAGCTGAACGTGCGAGATACCCGGCCAGGTCGGTATCATCTCATAGAGCCCAAATCCATCGCCTAGTGATTTCGGGGTTTGTCCGGTTTCTGGACAAAGCCTAATATCATATTCTTGGTTATTTGATGTTATTTCATATTCATACAAATGTATCTATATATATATACATATGCATATATATATATATATATATGTTTTTTTTTCCACCAGGCACCAAGGAGCAATTCGCTGCGGCCTTGCAAGGTTCATCAAATTCTGGAAAATCAAAAAGATCTGCTATTGTGCGTAGTCCGCACCCAGTGTCATGCCAAACTCCGTTTGAACCATGCGTTTGCATGTCAAAAGAAAATGTTCTGGCAATGCTGCAGCCTGATCGCTAACCGGTCGGCCTGCGATGGCTTAAAAGAGAGACACTGAGAGGCCACGACAAAAAGCAGGAGGATACTCCTTCAACACAGCAGTGCTCCATCGTCCCATCTGGTCTTTACCAATGGTTGAGACACGAGGATTCTCTGTGCAAACCCTGTGTTCATGGAGGCACTTCAAAAGCTGCGGAAGGTTCAAAGTCAGCAAGGCCGTCGGTTTGGACGACTTGGCACCCAACAGGCTTTGCGAAAGAGTCATCAAAGCAACATTTGGGAGCTCCGAAATGGCTTTCATTAATGGGAGTCGCCATATGGATGCAGCTGACGTATCGCCAGCCGGCTCCTTTGGGTGTTCTATCAAACCTATCCCATCAGCCAGCGCAAGCTCCAAGAAGGCGAGAACTGCAAAGCCCAAAAAACGCATTTCCCACACAGAGTTGCTTCAGCTCCTTGATGGCCAGGCACGTGAAGCCCCACAGGTTGTTGATGTCCCGAAGGATGCGCGGACCATGTTGTCGAACAGGTCCAAGTATATATATATATACATATACATATATAAATGTATATATATATATGTGAATATATATATATATACATACATATATATATATATGTGTATATATATGTACATATATATATATATATAGACATACATACCTGTACATACAGTGTATATGTTCCAGAGAATCCACGAACTTCGACATACTTTGATGGTTAAATCCCCAGGTTTAGTGGTCGCGGGGCTCCACATTTCGGTGGGTTTTTGCTGTCCCTGTTCGTTGATGCTTCGGGGGTTATACCATCCAATATTTACTGGGGGTTATTATATTGGGGATATGAATGATATGAATGATACATGATGAATGGTTGATTAGTATAGTATAGGGAGTTACTACTATATTGGGGATTCTAATCATCCATGAACTGGGAATCTTGTTCTTAACCAACCTGGATTAAATTAAAAAAACGCGGCTTTTGAACACTGCCCACACTGGCTGACCCGATCTGATTCGCTCCGAGGGTGTGTCTGAACATGGGGGCAAATGATTTCCTCAACCAATTTACACTCTAGAATAAATATAAAACATGGAGAATGGCCATTTAGTTTGAGGATTCAACTATAAAACATGGTGATGTCCCAAAGCTATCTTGAAATACCAGAGGGTATGGCCACTTCAATGGTTCTCTCCCAAGATTTTCATACCCAACCCACACTGAGGAAATGTTCTCCAAGTGCGAAAACACATCTGCCACAGGATTCTTGGTTCGAAGTGGGGATGGGTCAAAAATGCCCTCGATAGAAATAGAGTGTTTGGTCATTTTCCGCAAAGCTTGGTGGCTCATCCCACGGCTCGTAAGTGGGTTGTACCCCAGCTATAAAAGGGATACCCTCTGGTAAACTAACATAGCTATGGAAAATCACCACTTTTAATGGGTAAATCCACTACACATCGCCATTTTCAATAGCAAACTGTTAGTTCACCAGGCCGGGTAAGTAGGGTTAGTTCACTTGTAGCTGAGGTGAAAAAACCCACTAAGTGGTTGGCAAGTGCTATTTTTTTTTTCCTCCGAAGCACTCAAAAAGAGAAGAGCAATTCACCATTATATATTTCATTAGGATTTTGCGAACTTCTATCTTTGATTTTGGGTTGCGAAACACACACATATATATATATGACTATGGTTGCTTAAAATGTTGCAAACAAGTTAGCAGCGGCGATCAGCGGCTTGTGTCATTCCATGCCGTTGGTGGTTTCAAAAGGGGTCATTAGCCCTGACAGTAAAACTCACCTTGAACAGACCCCACACATCATTTGGGAAGTTTTCGGAAGACACTTTTGCTGGGGAAGATTCCAGTTTTGCGGCTGGCAGATACCGCCAACCAGTGGTACCACTTTTGCTGCACCGGACCGATTCCAGTCCCCAGGCGCTGTAAACCATCAACGAACTGATCAAATTTGGAGGGTTTTCCCAACGAGCTGTCGGATAGGGCATTTTTTTATGCTTTGGAATACACCAGCTGAGGCATCTTGTATGTGGCTTGGCTGAGAGGAGGTATACTTGGGTTGACAGAGGGCCTGCATGAATGTATTGTTCCTTGGATACTCCCCTGCTTGCTCACTGAGTTTCAGATTCCAATCATAGAAAAAAACAACTCACTTTTTGTCGAATGGGTGGGCCGTGGTAATGTATATAGTCTGTATAACATGGATAGCTGGGACCCCCATTTCCAACAACAACTCATCAACGTGCCGGATATTGGAGGCATGTTGGATGACCAGAGGGGTAGCTACAGAATTTCATCACCCCAACCAGCGTTCCCCGGAAAGCCCAATCTTCAAGAGGGACATCCAGGGGAAAAGGTTTCCAACTGGGGTACCTTTTTCCAGGGGAAAAGGTGTCCAAAATACCCCTTCCAACTGGGTACCTAGCCTCTACGTTGTCTTGGGAGATTGTTTAAAGGACATCTTTGAGACATCTTGGAGATGACCAGAGACATCCAGAGACATCTTTCAGCGCCTGAGGTCTTTAAGAACAAGTTCTGGAGAGACCCGCAGCATGCCATGAACATCACTGGCATCTCAGCTAGACATGTTCCGATATTCCCAGAAAAATCGGAGATTGACCAAAAAATAGTAGTGAAACTTCACCACAAAAACAAGGGATTCACCTGGAATTGATGCTTGCTGGCTCTGAGTGATGCTAATCCTTACTCTAGTCATTGGGGTTGCGCAGGTGGGTCTGTGTCTGCTAGGTGCTATTTTAACAGCGGAATTGGCCCTGAGTGGCCAAAATTGCCAGCCATCAAATAGGTCCAGGGTAGTCGGTAGTCAAACATAGGCTCAAACATGGCGATGTACAATTTTTTTTCCTTCCATGGATGATTTTCCAGCTATTCCCACATTTCTTAGGAGACTATGGCCATTCCAACAACAAATCCAATTTGTGAGAATTTTGGGGGATATGGGGGAATTGTCTGCGATATGGAGTTAGGAGTCTGACAATGTTGGTCACTGGGCATCCACATGAACAACTATTCTTGGAATTGTTCGACCCAAACTAGACATCTATACAGTCTATACACCCACGCCAAGAGAGTCAGTTGAACATGTTCGGTCTCAGATGAACCACCATAACCACCATGTGTTTGATAGTTTTGTGCTTCTTGAAGTTCACCAAACTGGGTTGAAAACGCTTTGATCGATAGGGACATCAAAGACACCTTGGATTTGCCCTTGAAGTACCTGGTCATGGCTGGTGGCTTTGTGGTCCTTCGAAATTCTCGCAAACGGGCATGGTAAGACAAACCAAGGGACTAGGTCACTGCATTCCTAACCAGCTACATTTTACATTTGATGATTACTTCATTTCTCCATAAATTTCCAATAAAAAATGGTGATGTCTTTCCATATAGCCACTGCGCACCTAGACTTCGACTTGGAGCTGGAAATGGCACGGCGAAAGAAAGACGTGCCTTGGACCAAAACTTCGCGTCTGATCTGGGTTTGGATGGGTAGTTTCATACTTTGATGATCTTTGATCTTTGTTGCTTTCAACACATGCACCAACCCGAACCCCCAGGCCAATTCAAACCAAATGACCAGATGGCCGTCTATGCACAAGGGGATGTGCCAAGCAACTCGAGAAGTCCGACAATGTGAGTGCTATAAATGTGATATACATGGGGATATATGCTAGTATACTGTATACCATACTACCTACGCAGTTTTCCAAAAATCAGGTTGACCAGGCAATGAAAAGAGGAATGAATCCCAAAGTGCGGGGAATTACGCAACAACCCTTATATATAATTGGAGATATGACCAACAATGTGATATTTGGCTCTGAAAATTGGTGGATACGAAGATGGCATTTTATTTGAAACCATGATGATTAATGAATCATGAGCATTTGGGGTATCCTATTGTTAAACAAAACACACTGGGAATTGTGGTCCGCTCATCCAGAATGTATCGAATAGCACTGGTGGGACCAAACTTTTGCGCTGGCAAAACTCGGGATGGCTTTGATGTAGACAATCTATCACAGAATTGGATGACGGGAAAATTGGAACCGGAAACCCCTAGATTTGATGGTAAAAACCCTGGTTTCCGGTTAAGATTTTCCCCAACAAACCAATCCATTGAATCTAGCGAAGTTTGCCTTGTCCATGGAATCCTCCTTTTTTTTTCGCAAGGTTGAAATGGTGTAGCCCCCCTTGATCAGTTGCAACAAGCAGAATGCATTAGCAGTCTTTTTCGCAGATGCCCTTGAAAGATTTATTGGCAGTTGTTGGTTTCCTCCCAACATCCATGCGTGTGACTTCAAACTCCAGATTCTCTTCTAAATGGAATACTCTGGTAAACCCAATTACACATGCCCAACTGGTAGGCTTGTGGCATTCACATGGATGTATATATATATATATACATATTTATGTAATATATATATATATACACATACATATATATATATATATATACATATATATATATAAATATATAAATATGTAGTTTCCCCTGCAGCCAGTTGGACGAGTTGATGAACTACAAACTGCCTGAACCAACGAAGAAGGGCGAGGAGCCCAAGGCGCCTGAGCCCAAGGCGGAGAAACCCCAGGCGGATGTTTTTTTTTTTGAAGCCTGGTGGGAGGATTCTGGTGTTGGCAGATGAAACATGGTGTTGGCACATGGGATTGTCTGAAAATATAGGGAAACCCTCCAAAATCCAGCGGATATCAATGGATGGTCTATCAGAATTGATCATTTTCCTGACATGAGATACACGTTTTTTCTTGAATCCCTATTTTCAGACATAGCCAAATCAACAGGTCTTCCGGTATTCCAAAGTTACCAGAGTTCAAAGTCTATGGAAGGTGGAGTTTGAACACTTTTGAATCATCTTACCCTCTGGCAAACTAACAGTTTGTTATGGAAAAATCACCATCTTTAAGTTCGGTAAATCAACTATAAATGTGCCATTTTCGCAAACTGTTAGTTTACCAGGCCGGGCAATTCTGGTCTATGTTGAGGCTTTCATGGTGTTTTTACCCCGAAAAAATCTGGGGAGAAGATTTCCTGCCACGTTGAAACGGGGCGCCGTTGCCACAGCCAGGGCCTGGATTTGGCAAAGGCCATTGGAACGCTGGGAGCCAACGTGGGATCCACCTTGGAAAAGGAGAAGTCCTCGAAGGTGGCTCTGTTTTTTGGGCTGTTGCAGAGCATATCATGGCATATCATGGCATATCTGTATATATATATATAGTATAAACCTACCGATACCCCATATATAGTATATATATATATTATGGTCGAAGGAAGTTTAGAAGTGAAACTTCCGACAATATGGACAGTTGAAAAGCAGAGGTGAGAAGAGTCAGAAGAGAAAAGATCAGAAGAAAGAAGAGGTAGATGCGCGAAAAGATAGGAAAGTCGCGATTCACTGTGTTTTTCCAATGATTTGTGGCTCCGGAGGGTCGAAAAGTAGGCTCGCTAAAGCGGCGGGTGCGGAGCCAGCTGGCCAGATGAGAGAAAAAGTTGCATGCCGTTGTGGCGCGAAGCACATTTCCAAGTCAAAATGGACAAAACACTAGAGGAGCGGACCACTTTTGGAAGTTGAGATGTCGAAAAAGTGCACGCCGTTGTGGCGCGAAGCACATTTGGAAGTCAAAATGCACAAAACACACCAATGTCGGACCACTTTTGGAAGTTGAGATGTCGAAAAAGTGCACGCCGTTGTGGCGCGAAGCACATTTCAAAGTGAAAATGTACAAAACACACCATTCTCGGAGCACTTTTGGAAGTTGAGATGTCGAAAAAGTGCACGCCGTTGTGGCGCGAAGCACATTTCGAAGTCAAAAGTGTAAAAAACTGAGGGTTTTGAGCCTTTTTTGACGTGAAGATGTCGAAAAAGTAGACACTGATTAACTTAACTAACTTGACTAACTTAACTAACTTCACTAACTTAACTACCCTAACTTCGACGAAACAGCAACAGCAACAGCAACAGCAACAGCAACAACAACAACAACAACAACAACAACACAACAACAACAACAACACCAACCACAACAACTACAACTACAACAACTACAGCTACAACAACTACAACTACAACTAGAACTACAACTACAACAATTACACAACAACAACAGCAACAACAACAACAACAACAACAACTACAACTACAACTAACAACAACAACAACTACTACTACAACTACACTACACAACAACTACAACCACACAACAACTACAGCTACAACTACAACAACAACAACTACAACAACTACAACTACAACTACAAAACAACTACAGCTACAACTATATGACTGCAACTACACTACACTAATTACATTACACCACAACTACAACTCCACTACGCTACAACTTCAACTACAGTTGCAGTACATCACACTACATCCAGCAGTTGTGGGTGAGGTGACCACTGCAACCATTGCAACCACTCCAGCAAACACAACTCCAACCACCTTTCGGTCAATCAGTGGATTCGCTCTGCCATCCGTGATTCACAACAACCAACGTCTCCTATAGGTTTCCTATTCTGAAACTTCCGCCACCGCCTTGTGCGGTACTACTGGTATTCGGTATATCAGTATATGATATAATATGTACTCTAGTATAGTATTTGGAGTACTTTGTGAACAACGCGCCTTTGACATCCAACAAAGGTTGCCAACGCTTCCAGCTCGGGCCCCCACTCATCCCACTGAGATGATTGGTTTGTTGCTTCCAGGTATCCCGATCAGTCGTCCCGATGTTCAAAGTTCGACTATAGCCAGTTTGCCAAACCTATGACCTGATTGAAAACGACAATCTTTAATAGCTATGGAAAATCACATGAACAAACTGATGAATTCACCTTTCCACCAGCCGGTTTGCGGCATCAATGGCTGGGATTCCAGGTTTTCATGGCAAGTCTTGGGAAGCGGCTAAAACACTGGTGAGCCACGGCTAACCCAAGGTACTGTAGTTATGCCAAGATGCCAAGTTGTTTCCCGCTGTACACGCTCTATCAAAACAGAGTTTTTTTTAGTCGCAGGTAGAAGACATCCAGGACGATTTGGACCAGGTGTGTTCCCCATCGCGGAACCTCGGGTGAATTCGACCCCAGAAGGATGAAGTCAGGTTCCTGTGTTATTTTGCTTAGGGGAACCAGGGGTATATTTCAATAAGAACGGGATCCGCAGATTCCTCAGACTACCACCAAGACGTTCAGTGTCGCTTGGGCAAGTGGCCTTTGATCGTGAATATTTGCGGTGAGTTCAGCGAAACGTACCTTTTCATGGGCGAAACAATAAATGCCATGCTGGTTCCACAGGGGTTTAACCGTTTAACCCCTGGACGGTTTTCTTGCCGGCGGATCGAAGCTGCAAAAGTCATGAAAGATCACCAGGTGGAGAAGAAGCTTGAAGAGAAGCAGGAAGCTGCAAAGGCATCGCCAGTTGATTGTTCCTGGAGAGGGCTCATGCCAGTCTTCATCCCCAAAACTTGGCAGGTGGTAGATATTGGTAGATATTGGTAGATTGCAAAGGTGACGGTTGATCTGAAGTTTGAAATCCAAATTTCTAAACAAAGCGCATCTTCCAGCCGCGAAGCTTAACATCGAGTCCGCAGGATTCACTGGGGATCCTGCACCCGATCCTGTCAGCGAAGGAAAAGCTAGAGGAAGAAAAGAAGAAACTGGAAGAGTATGAGGTGCCACCCTGGTGAAACCGGGAAGGAAATGGTTGCACCCACAAGGTCTCATGATCTTTAACCATCTCTGCCCGTAGCTATAAAACTTGAAATCCGATAGAAAGTCAATTCACCCTGTATTCAGCTCTGCAAGACCTCAGAGTGCTGGATAACAAGTATACATTTGGGCTTGCCCGTCTCTCACTCGGAGCAGGACAAGAGCAACGGTGAACGTTCATCAACGGGCGTGCTGTTGTGAAGATTGGCATTGTTTCGCGTAGTCGCGTAGTAGTTTCCGGATCAGTCTAATGCGAGGATAAGAGTGCACATTGACATGGTATCCATGACACTTGGAGCCCTATCTTTTGATTTGGCCCATTGCATGTACTCTTGGCAGTTATTGGGCCATTCTGTTGTTACCAGCCTTTTGTAGGTCGAGAAGGCCAAGGCTGCCAAGGCTGGAAAATGGCGGATGCTTTGGAATTCCAGAAAGCATGGGCTGCAGAATCCCTAAAGCCATCACCATTTTTTTTGGTTGCTAGAAAGCATCCCTATAGCTGTTTATGGCATTTGGGTTCCCCACATTTGCGAACAATATATGGAGAGATGTTGGAATATCATGGAAACACGTGGGATTTAACGATATAACCAAAAAAAAAATCTGGGGAAATTGGACAAAATGGCCAAACCCTGCGATGTCACGGGTTTCAAGCCAAGGCATTGTTGTAATTGTAATTTATTCAGAAACAATGCTCATGAAGGGAATGATCATGACCACCAACCCAAAGCAACACTGTTTTTGACCTCTCCAAAGTTGGGGCGATGATGAAGAGGTATGTCCCACGATTTTTTTCTGGCAATGCCTGCTCCAAAAAAACAAGCAATTCATGGTGTTGTTAGGGAGGGCAGAAACAAGAGCATTCCATGAACAACACTGCAATGACTGACACCCTTTGAACAGTGGGATTGTTTTCCTGGCGTAGTGGACCCGCGGTCTGACAAAAGGACAAAGTCGAAGAGCTGGATCCATAGAAACAGAATGAAACACTGAGTTGGATTTCTCCTTGGATACTCCATGGTCTTTTGCTCTTCACTTCATCAATTCAGGCACCCTTCGTTTCCCGTTTCATTGACTGCTGGCGTTGTGAGCACCACTGCTGCAGGTGGAAGTGCCGGAGGCGCCAAAACCACCGAAGGCACCAAAGGCACCTGAGGTCCCCGAGCTCCCAAAGGCACCGCAGGGACCTATGGGGCAGGGAAGATAGGGAAGGGGTGGGACCTTTGTGGCTTTGACATGCTTGATATCTCCTGCAGGAACATGTTTTGAGGTCTGGCGGATTTCAGATGACTGTGGGTAGATTTCATTGTTTGGTATTTTGTTGTTTCTTGTGCAGTGCTTTGGGTGCCAACATGTCAAAAAAGAATACCTGAAATATAATGTAAGTTAGATCAAATGCAAACTCATGTGGCTGAGACAAGACTGCAAAGAAATTGATTCAGGATCGTTTCTCTTGTCTTCCCTATCGTTGCCCCAAATTCATCCCAATCCATAGATCCATGAAAATGGAATGAAGTGGATTTCTCCCTCCATCTTTCATGGTCTGTCTTTTGCTCTTCATCAATTCAGGCACCCTTCGTTTCCCGTTTCATTGACTCCTGCTGGCGTTGTGAGCACCACTGCTGCAGGTGGAAGTGCCGGAGGCGCCAAAACCACCGAAGGCACCAAAGGCACCTGAGGTCCCAGAGCTCCCAAAGGCACCGCAGGGACCTATGGGGCAGGGAAGATAGGGAAGGAGTGGGACCTTTGTGGCTTTGACATGCTTGATATCTCCTGCAGGAACATGTTTTGAGGTCTGGCGGATTTCAGATGACTGTGGGTAGATTCCATTGTTTGGTATTTGTTGTTTCTTGTGCAGTCCTTTGGGTGCCCAAATGTCAGAAAAGGACCTGAAATATAAGCTTGAAAGGGCATATGGCTGAGACAAGACTGCAAAGAAAACAATGCAGGATCGTTTCTTCTGTCTTCCCTATTGTTACCCCAAATCCATCCCAATCCATAGATCCATGAAAATGGAATGAAGTGGATTTCTCCCTCCATCTTTCATGGTCTGTCTTTTGCTCTTCATCAATTCAGGCACCCTTCGTTTCCCGTTTCATTGACTCCTGCTGGCGTTGTGAGCACCACTGCTGCAGGTGGAAGTGCCGGAGGCGCCAAAACCACCGAAGGCACCAAAGGCACCTGAGGTCCCAGAGCTCCCAAAGGCACCGCAGGGACCTATGGGGCAGGGAAGATAGGGAAGGGGTGGGACCTTTGTGGCTTTGACATGCTTGATATCTCCTGCAGGAACATGTTTTGAGGTCTGGCGGATTTCAGATGACGAGGGGTAGATTTCATTGTTTGGTATTTTGTTGTTTCTTGTGCAGTCCTTTGGGTGCCAACATGTCAAAAAAGAATACCTGAAATATAATGTAAGTTAGATAAAATGCAAACTCATGTGGCTGAGACAAGACTGCAAAGAAATTGATTCAGGATCGTTTCTTCTGTCTTCCCTATTGTTACCCCAAATCCATCCCAATCCATAGATCCATGAAAATGGAATGAAGTGGATTTCTCCCTCCATCTTTCATGGTCTGTCTTTTGCTCATCAATTCAGGCACCCTTCGTTTCCCGTTTCATTGACTCCTGCTGGCGTTGTGAGCACCACTGCTGCAGGTGGAAGTGCCGGAGGCGCCGAAACCACCGAAGGCACCAAAGGCACCTGAGGTCCCAGAGCTCCCAAAGGCACCGCAGGGACCTATGGGGCAGGGAAGCTAGGGAAGGAGTGGGACCTTTGTGGCTTTGACATGCTTGATATCTCCTGCAGGAACATGTTTTGAGGTCTGGCGGATTTCAGATGATTGTGGGTAGATTGCATCGTTTGGTATTTGTTGTTTCTTGTGCAGTCCTTTGGGTGCCCAAATGTCAGAAAAGGACCTGAAATATAAGCTTGAAAGGGCATATGGCTGAGACAAGACTGCAAAGAAAACAATGCAGGATCGTTTCTTCTATCTTCCCTGTTGTTGCCCCAGATCCATCCCAATCCATAGATCCATGAAAATGGATTGAAGTGGATTTCTCCCTCCATCTTTCATGGTCTGTCTTTTGCTCATCAATTCAGGCACCCTTCGTTTCCCGTTTCATTGACTCCTGCTGGCGTTGTGAGCGCCACTGCTGCAGGCACCAAAGGCACCTGAGGTCCCTGAGGTCCCAGAGCTCCCAAAGGCGCCGCAGGGACCTATGGGGCAGGGAAGATAGGGAAGGGGTGGGACCTTTGTGGCTTTGACATGCTTGATATCTCCTGCAGGAACATGTTTTGAGGTCTGGCGGATTTCAGATGACGAGGGGTAGATTCCATTGTTTGGTACTTTGTTGTTTCTTGTGCAGTCCTTTGGGTGCCCAAGTGCCAAAAAGAGTACCTGACATATGAGTTAGATCAAATGCAAACTCATGTGGCTGAGACAAGACTGCAAAGAAATTGATTCAGGATCGTTTCTTCTGTCTTCCCTATTGTTGCCCCAAATTCATCCCAATCCATAGATCCATGAAAATGGAATGAAGTGGATTTCTCCCTCCATCTTTCATGGTCTGTCTTTTGCTCTTCATCAATTCAGGCACCCTTCGTTTCCCGTTTCATTGACTGCTGGCGTTGTGAGCACCACTGCTGCAGGTGGAAGTGCCGGAGGCGCCAAAACCACCGAAGGCACCAAAGGCACCTGAGGTCCCAGAGCTCCCAAAGGCACCGCAGGGACCTATGGGGCAGGGAAGATAGGGAAGGGGTGGGACCTTTGTGGCTTTGACATGCTTGATATCTCCTGCAGGAACATGTTTTGAGGTCTGGCGGATTTCAGATGACTGTGGGTAGATTCCATTGTTTGGTATTTGTTGTTTCCTGTGCAGTCCTTTGAGTGCCAAAATGTCAGAAAAGGACCTGAAATATACTGTAAGTTAGATAAAATGTAAACTAATGTGGCTGAGACAAGACTGCAAAGAAAACAAGGCAGGATCGTTTCTCTTGTCTTCCCTATTGTTGCCCCAAATCCATCCCAATCCATAGATCCATGAAAATGGAATGAAGTGGATTCCTCCCTCCATCTTTCATGGTCGGTCTTTTGCTCTTCATCAATTCAGGCACCCTTCGTTTCCCGTTTCATTGACTGCTGGCGTTGTGAGCACCACTGCTGCAGGTGGAAGTGCCGGAGGTGCCAAAACCACCGAAGGCACCAAAGGCACCTGAGGTCCCAGAGCTCCCAAAGGCACCGCAGGGACCTATGGGGCAGGGAAGATAGGGAAGGGGTGGGACCTTTGTGGCTTTGACATGCTTGATATCTCCTGCAGGAAAATGTTTTGAGGTCTGGCGGATTTCAGATGACGAGGGGTAGATTCCATTGTTTGGTATTTGTTGTTTCTTGTGCAGTCCTTTGGGTGCCCAAGAGTCAAAAAGAGTACCTGACATATGAGTTAGATCAAATGCAAACTCATGTGGCTGAGACAAGACTGCAAAGAAATTGATTCAGGATCGTTTCTTCTGTCTTCCCTATTGTTGCCCCAGATCCATCCCAATCCATAGATCCATGAAAATGGATTGAAGTGGATTTCTCCCTCCATCTTTCATGGTCTGTCTTTTGCTCTTCATCAATTCAGGCACCCTTCGTTTCCCGTTTCATTGACTCCTGCTGGCGTTGTGAGCGCCACTGCTGCAGGCACCAAAGGCACCTGAGGTCCCTGAGGTCCCAGAGCTCCCAAAGGCACCGCAGGGACCTATGGGGCAGGGAAGATAGGGAAGGGGTGGGACCTTTGTGGCTTTGACATGCTTGATATCTCCTGCAGGAACATGTTTTGAGGTCTGGCGGATTTCAAATGAATGTGGGTAGATTCCAGTCTTTGATAGTTTGAGCGATATTTTCTTGTTTCTGGTGTAGTCCTTTGGGTGCAAAGATGTCAATCTCAATACGTGAAATTTAAATATAAGTGTCTTTTTTTAACCGCATGTGATTCCGACAAGGAAATGATTCAGAATCGTTTCTTTTGTGCTCTTCCAAGTCGTCAAAATGGAGTGAAGTGGACTTTCCCTTCGATTTCCCATTGTCTTTTGCTCTTCATCAATTCAGGCACCCTTTGCTTCGCGTGTCATTTACTCCTGGCGTTGTGAGCGCCACTGCAGGTGGAAGTGCCGGAGGGAGTCCCAGCGACCCCGGTGGTTCAAGATCTCCCAAAGGCACTGGACCTGACATGCGACCTGACTTGGTTGACATGCTTGATAGTTTCTGAAGGAACATGTAGTCTGGCAGTTTTCAGATGAATGTGGACAGATTTCATTGTTTGATATTGGGTTGGTTCCTATGCAGTGCCCACATGTCAAAAAGAGTACCTGAGTATGAGTTAGATAAAATGCAAACTCATGTTGCTGAGACAAGACTGCAAAGAAAACAATGCAGGATCGTTTCTTTTGTCTTCCCTATTGTCGCCCCAAATCCATCCCAATCCATAGATCCATGAAAATGGAATGAAGTGGATTCCTCCCTCGATTTTCCATAGTCTTTTGCTCTTCATCAACTCAGGCACCCTTTGTTTCTTGTCTCATTTACTCCTGCTGCAGTAGTTGTGAAAGCCAATGCCGCAGGCGGAAGTGCCTGAGGTGCCAAAACCCGCAAAGTTCCAGCAAATCAAACTTGGGGACCGTGGAGATGAATTGTTTGAAACATTTTGGTCTTTCCAACCATCTCTACAGTACGCTTACCTGTGACAATGGTGGCAACAAACCTTTGTGGCAAATTATGACTCGACCAATTCGCCAAAGTATCAGGTCTGCAGGCCCCATTCGAAGTGAATTCTGTATGTGTACCGTAGTGGTCGATGTATACATCCCATACGAAAAACAACAAACATCTTACATCCGAGTGCTTTATTCAAGAAATCCCCATGTTTCAATGACAATAGACCCGTGCTTTTCTATCCTCTCATAGATCATGGCTAAAGTTTTCTCTTTAGGTCTTGAGGGTCGCCTCACGTCCCCTGAGTGGCTCAAAAAACATGAAAAAATGGCAAAAAACAGAGCTACCAGTTTTTCCACCACTTTCTGGGGAAGATCCTCCAGCCGTTGAACAACCGCCACTGGGCAACTTCCCGCCCGTTTTCGGTCGAAGGTGCCACCAGCCTCGGAAGAGCGCGAAGAGGCGACCAAAAAGGCGCCTGTTTCAAGCGCTGAGAAGGCCCCGGACCTGGAGAAAGCCTGGGTGAGTTTTTGTTCTGCATTTAAATCATTTAAATCTATATTCTGGTAACCATCGAAAAAACATATAAATGACATTCAATGATCATATAAATCATTTTTTACTTTTTTTTTTTAAATGACCTAAATGAACATCTATCTTAAACAGTAGGTAGCCATCGTTCAGTTCGCCAGATGGGATTCAACGGGATTTGTCAGAACTTTTCTGGGATTCGCCCCATCCAAAAGTGAACACTACTGAAATGGGAAAACACAGGATTTCTCTCGCTTTTTCCAATTTACAGCTGGACATGATCCAGTTGAGCCGGTGTCAGTTGGTGGTTTTAGGGGGTGTACAACCAACAAAAAATGTCGGGATCTGAAGGGAACTTCTAATTCTTTGATGGCAACTCTGCAGATTGCAGGATCACCACAGTTTCTCAGGCAATCCTAAGGAGCTACAGTCCCGAAGTTAAGAAGTGTAAGAAATTACATGATCAATTTTTGCAGCTAGCGGTTCCTTAAAAAGCAGGGCTCTCCACTGGTAGTTCTTTGGAAAGCGCAACGTCGCAGGCAGCTGAAATAGCGAAACGCGAGCGCGAGCAGATTTCCCAAGAGGCGCGATGCAGAAAGGCACCCGTTTCGCCAGGGTCGACACAGCGACATCTCCATAAATGTGCCCATTTTCCGAGATGTTAAATAGTTAATGACCCTCTGGTAAACCAACATAACTATGGAAAATCACCATTTTTCATGGGAAAACTCACTATTTCTATGGCCATTTTCAATAGCTATGTTTGACATAACCAGAGGGTACCCGTTCAGTATCAATTTTGAGCAACGATGCCTGTCTCGGAACGATGCATGTCTGCGCCAAGACTTCTGATTATCATAACATGTGAAGACTTGATATGACCAATACCAGTGAGTTCCAGTTGAAGTTTTCGACCCACAGCCACTCCTGGTGTTGGCCAAAATTCCAAAGACGGTCCGACACTGGACATGGTCGGCACTGTACTGGACTGTGAAATCACAGAATATCTAGAAAAAATGGTAGAACAGGGATGCTAGGACATCCCAGCATTCATTCTTGGTTGTTATGGTTTTTATGTTCATTATTTTTCAAAGTTTCATGTTTACCTTTGATGTTTTGTTTTTGGTGCTGTTTTTTTTTTGCGACAATTTGGCCCTGGACTTTCGCTCTGATTGTTTGGTTTGGATGAGGGGGATAATGGTTGAGGTTGTTGTGTTTTAGGTTTGGTTAAGTTTCTGGTTCTTCTTCTGGTTCTGGTTTTGCTAAACTTGCTTTATCCACGAATAAGCGTTTCTTTTGGATTGCATATTCCAACATTGAGTTTAAAAACTGTTCGCTGAATATCGCTTTTGTTTTCAACAGGTGTTTTCTCTCCAAAATCATCCATTTCAATATCTTAACGAACCATCTAAGAGTAGGTAAGGTATGAGCCATCATCAACTTCTCCAGGTTCGTTGCATTTGAATGGTCTATGGTCAACTCGAAAACATAGCTGTTCATATTTATAGTTATGAAGGGTCTTTCAATGTTGAGTTCCTCATTTTCGGGTTCATCCTGCATAAATTGCGTCTCAGGTCCTGTTTCCGTGGGAAGTCCGCAAGAACAGTGACGAGGCCGATGTTGTCATCCTGTGTGGATGGACAGGTTTGGGACGGTTGATTGCTATCACTGTACTGTATCAATCCAGACATTGAGTTTCAGATACTTTTTACAAGATATGAAGTCTGGATTGTTTCTCAATATTGACTGTTCTTTTCTATTTTGTTCATTTTTTTTACACACTCATAACATTTCTTTATTTCATCATACATATCTTTTTTAAGCACCTAATATTTTCTCTTACTATATATATATATATTACATAGTCAGTTTTTCTTTAAGTAGTTTTGAGGGCTTGTTCAGTTTTCAGGTTGTGGTTGGTTCTTCTCTCTTAAGGCTTGCTTGGCATTGCTCTTCCCAGTAGTTGTCGTGTTCTTCTCTTGTCCTTGGTGACCCTTCATCGCAAGGGTCATGCATATTCTCTTTTGAACAAGCGCTTTTACTATATCGTGTTCCTCCTCTTCCAGTTCTCTAATCACTCTGTCTATCTCATCCATTCCTTCATTAGGGTCTATTCCATCGGCAAGGTTTCTTAACCTCTCAAAGTTCTTCACTTTATGTCTTTCATTTGGTGGTAGGGTCTTTAAATGTCCCTTCAACTATGTCAGGTCAAAGTATGTGTCTTCCTCTTCTTCTTTACTCATAAACCTTTCCATTCGATGCTTTTCAAATTCCATATGTTTGTTTTCCATATGTTGGAATTTCATTTGTTTCTTGGAGCACTTCCCACAAACATTCACGAAGGTGTTGACCAAATAACCCAATGAGGTCTTTGGAAATCACCACTGTTCAAATTGATATACATTCAGTCATTATACGACATCCACAGTCAAATTTAGCAATCTTATTTGCTCTTACGTGCCTTCCAAGCAGGGGTAAAAGTGTTTTATTTTTCAGCAGGGAGGCATCACTCATGTCGTTACTACTCTACATGTGCCAATGTAGTGGAGCGTTTCACCGTCCATTCATCTACAGAAATGAAATGGAATGATGCCCACGAAGGGAAAATAACACTCGCAAATAGCCAGAGGTGAAGGTGAATGGAAGAAAAAGACAACTACACGGAGAGCCTATCCTATCCTATCCTATCCTATCCTATCCTATCTATTACATATCAATGAGAGCAGAAGTAAGCAACGCAAAGCAAGGATTGCTTCATGTCAAAAGCCATCTGAGATAGTCGCTGGCATCGTCCCTCAAGTCGATAATATCTTCAAAGTCAGTCGGTTGGGTGCTTCTTCCTTGCGGTTGCTTCCTCTACCATCTTTTTGAAGTTCATTTGTTGTAAGTCTTCTGCGTGAATGTTGTTTGTGTTCAGTGCTTGACCCTGCGGACTTTCGTGAAGATACCAATCATTCCTATCAAATATTTCTCTGATGTCATTGGTTTTGAAGTTTTCCAGACGTTTCCAGACGTCTATTTGGCAAGCTTAAGTCATTCAGAAGACCAGTAGTCAACAGAAATTTCGTCCGTCCCTGCGCGTCTTTGGGAGGAAAAGCCAGCCCCCAAAGAGGCGGCCGAAACAGGGTGGGGGATCTGGAGTATCCCCACTTATTAATAATGGATGATTTGGAAAATCTTTTCTTTATAATGGATGATTTGGAGTACACTTCAGGAAACCCCCATATATATATAATATACACACACACACATGAGGTTGTAAACTATTTTCTGACTGGGATGCACATCCAGGCAGTGTATCCATGCCGATGCTTAAACAGCTTTTTTTTGCTTTGCCAGAAAAGGGGGTAACGCAACTTCTAGAGGATACCAGCATCTTTTTCTTGGAATATCTGGGAATCCCTATTGGACAGCTTCATGGATCTACACCAACTGTCGGCAAAGGGATACAAAAAAGTAACCGATGGGCCACGACCACAGCCGGCATGGCCTTGGGTTGTAACCACCTATTGCTGTTCGGAATTGATCTTTCCAACCGCAAAGCTTTGTGTGCTGAGTCGGCAAATTTTAAAGGTTGGTGGATTTTACGATTAAGATGTTTTAAGAGGTTTAAACAAAAACGTGAAGAATCAACATGAATCAAATGGACTTTCCATTTAAACATCCACGAGTACTACGAGTGATCTCGGCCGTCCGAGTTGATTATTGGTGTCTCTCCATCGCCATGCGGGGTCACCCAATACCGCGAAAGGTGAGCGCCCGTCGAATGCAGGACCAGTGCCAATGATGGGGAGGGGGTTCACCGGGTTCACCAACAAAAGTCAGGATATAAACGACAAAAGATAAGAAGATGTGTTGGACACAACGCCCATAAGAAGATGGGGAGATGACTGACAGTTCATTAAAGTGGGCTTTATCTTGATGGTTCAGCATGGAGCCTTCCTCGCACCATTTTCTAAGCCATCTAACGTGAATTCTGCTTTTGGCGAGTTGTAACCCACAGGCATGATGCTACTGCAATTCCCCATCGTTTCATGTACCATTGCTTTCTCTGAAGCGTTCTCACCGCCAGACAAATATGACCGTTAATTTCATCGGAGACAAGTTAGTATCACATTTTTTCCACCTGCGTATTCATCAAACAACTGTTTCTTTTTCCCTCTCTCTCTCTCTCTGACATGGTGTGTATCTAATACCAACATGTTATGTGTATGTATATATATGTATACATATATCTACGTCATTCTACATCTACATCTACATCTACATCTATATCTATATCTATATCTATATCTATCTATATATAATATATATATATGTATGTATTATATGCATATTTTGCGTGCCTATCCGATTCGGAGCACAATGGAAAATAGCTTCAGAGAACTTGAGCCCTGGACTCTCTGAATGCCTCAGCCTGCCTCGGTGTATGGTGAGGACAACGAGGACCCGGCGACAGGGGGCGGTGGTTCTTGCGCAGGAAGTGTATGATATCGGAGGATGCTTCCATCCAAATTTGAGCTACCTGGTATACATACATATATATATAATATATTATATATATATGTATTCATGGCGGATTTTCCATATCCTTTTGTATGTTTACTGGTGGGTATAAGTAGGATGATCGGATGATCCTCCAATCTGTCGGTCTGTCGGCGACATGCCGTAGGCACCGGCCATCATGATCTAAGTCGACCACTCTGCAAAGACAGAGAAGTTCTGCCCGCCCGGCTTAGCTGTGAGTCGACCTGGGGCAAAAAGGGATAGAATCTATAGATAATTATAGATAGACATTTCAATGGGACATATATATATAGATAGATAGGTAGGTAGATAGATAGATAGATAGGTAGATAGATAGATAGATAGATAGATATAATATAACTATAGATATGGGACATATATAGATTATCTATATATATATAATATAACTAACTTTTCTTGACAAAAAGTAGTGGGAAATCCATTGGAGAATCTAAATTTGGGACTTCTCTATTTGGCATGGTTTTTAGTTGGATTCCGCAATTTTTAAGGGTTGCGCGGTTGCAGACAACCCAGCACGCCTAGCACGCCTTGAAAAAAATCCCAGTTTGAAGAGGGTTACAGTATGTACTGCTGAGGTATATCCGATAGCCATGATAAAAATGTGATAACATTGTTACCCTCTGGTAAACTAACATAGCTATTGAAAATGGCCATTTATAGTGGATTTTCCCATTAAACATGGTGATTTTCCATAGTTATGTTAGTTTACCAGAGGGTATATCCATGATGATTCCATGATGGATCGCCTCATAACTAGTTACCCAATACTGCTAGCCGACACGGCTCCGTCCTCATCCCAGCACCTAAAAAACTTGCCGAATTCATAGCATGCGAGAAAAACCGGACTGGGAAAATGTGAATGCTCGTTTTTTTGGGAAAGATGGGTTCAGTGGTCGGTGGTTTGACACAAACTCGATGTATTTTTCTTGAAAAATATCAGACAACCGGGTAGATTGGGTAGTGAGAGTAATTATGCTTACACATTCTATCGCCATCATAGCATCCGAAGCATGGAGTAGTAGGTCTTCCCTGAAGGTGTCGAGGAGTTTGTTCTACCAGTAGCTTGCTTTGGTTGTTGCGAAGCGTTCAGTGAATTTATCATGCTTGCCCATGACCAAAACATTTTGCCAGGTGCTCGACTCCTGCAGACGAGCCAAAAGAAGCTGTTGCAGGAAAGTCTGGGGGCATGATAGGGCAAGAGTCTCAAAGGCAGACCAGTCTCTCAATTACCCTCTGGTAATTTAACATAACTATAGAAAATCACCATGTTTCATGGGAAAAGCAACTATAAATGGCAATTTTCAATAGCTATGTTAGTTTACCAGAGGGTAAGTTGTTTAGCGTCTACCGGGTCTACCGGGTCTACCGAGTCTACTGTTGAACCCCTGACGACGTGGCAGGTTTCTGCATTCGTAGTTTTTTATCAGCGCCTCTTTGGGAACCGTTTTTGCGGTTCAGTTTGGGTCGGGGTGGGCTAAGAATGTTCAAAAAAGCAAGTGCGTTTTCGCATGTGATGAGATGTGCTCTTCACATCTCTTTACTTTCTCAAGTAACTTCCAAGATTCTGTTCATACAATGGTGCGAAATCGGGTACAAAAAATAACCCCCTCTGGATTGAGGAAGGTCACACGATCTTTGCATCATCGTGTTTGATGCCGAAGGTCGAAGGTAGTTAAGACGGGGCTCAGAGTCAATGGGTATTTGATGCTACCTGCCAACCACGGCCAGGGTTTGAAGCCGAATGGTCGAGGCTGAGCCGAATGCTGGCTGGTGCAAAGCTGCAGCTCTGCGATGGGTAGACTTTAGTGCCAGTCTCCAAAGCTGATCATTTTGTCACATGAACCACCCAAACGCTGGGCCAGAGCCACAAAAAGGTGTTGCTTTTCTTTAATTTTCAGATACTTGAATCCTTTAAACAAATTCTACATGGGGTTGCCTGACAATACCCCTAAATTTACTAGTGAATCATAATTATCCCGATTCATCGTGGCCTTAGGGGACACCATCTGGTTATGACTAACAGTTTGCCATAGAAAGATCACCATTTTTTTATGGGTAAACCATCTATTTCAATGGGCCATCTATACCATGGCTATGTTAAATAACCAGAGGGTATATATATC